GCCTTCGAAGGAGGAAAACAAACGGACTCGTTATCGCAATTGCGACACGAAAAATCGAAGATAACTGGAATGTATAAGATCTCCGTATCTAGAAGCGTTTGTTTCCATAGGGAGGGATTTTGACAACGAAACATCCGCCGGAGGAGTGTCGATCGATTGGAATTGAACGATCAGTGATGAAGTGGCGGGGGCGGGACACGAATGATCCTTTGACTCGCCCCGCGTGTTCATCGATTCAGCGATATTCTATGCGTGTCAGCACTCGCGGAGAAGTGTCAGCACGTGCGGTCGGTTCCGGAATGGAAGAATAAAAAGGAAACGGCATCGCTGACGGAAACGCGACCGATCGTCAACGCGGCCACGTGCTCGGTCCGCCAGCATTGCGTAACCGTGCTCCTCGCTGACACACGTGCACGCGTGACTACGAAACCCGTGTCACCGGCTCGCTCGCATAATTTTTTTCTCCGCTACGGAGGAATTAGTCAGCTAGCTGGCCGCGGCTACCGCCGCTCGCAGGTTCGCACGCTCCGTCCTATTCCCCCCGCATGTTACTACACGATAACGGACCGATAAGAGCGATCCGCGCCGCCGACGAAAATTTCGCGCGGCAAACAAAAGGACGTAACACGTGGCCTCGTGCTGGCCCCATAGTTTCCCTGTTAATTGATCGTTCTATTTATAAACGCGTTATCAGCGAGCCCGCTCTCGCGATTATCGCGTTAGAAACCGATCGCGTTTCTACGATCCTCGAAAGTAGACCGTGTTATTACTCGACGATCGAAAATTGAGGAAAATCCGGGGAAACCGAGAAGAAAGGCGAAACAAAGGAAAAGGAACGAGAAGAGCAGGATATTATGCAACTGCGCCGCAGGATCATTCGTCGAGGTGGTACGGCCGAGTCATCGCGTGTTATTAATAGCGGCGCGATGTCGAGCGCGTTCGCGGATTTTCCGGCGAATAATCGACCGCCACGACCGGACACACGAGTAAATTTATGAACCGTATACGCTGTCTGAAGTGAGACAAGAAAAAGTCCGTTCGCCTAACCGTTCGTACGCCGGTGGCGTTGTCGGTGAGGTCAGTTCTAGTCTCGAGACGCAAATGTGACTTGTAGTCGCATTTCATTATGGCGCGCAATTAAGGCAAACCGATTATACTTTGATCGTCGGTGTCTATAAATTTTCATCGGAAGGCAAAGCAAACGTTAACGCATCGCTTTTCGGCGGTTCAAAGGATTGTCGAGGACAAAGGATTCTTGTCCGATTATGCAAATCGGTTATCTTTCGCCTCTTGTTACCTGCTCGACAGAACACCGATCAACAGACGTTTCGCGATATTTCCGTCAGCGACGCTCCCTAATCGGTAAACTTTAAATAAATTATTACGGAAGTTCCCGCGGCTGGAGTAAAGGATACGCGCACGTCCCACCCAGCGACGAGTGTTGTCATTTGAATTGCGTCACCAGTTACTGGACTAGTGTCACGTTGCGCAACCGACCGACACGAGCCCCCTCGGTACACGTGACGCACGCGGATCGATCTAATTGCGATTTATAATTCAAGAATCGAGCCGCGTCGCGGATTCCCCGAGCTCTCGTTTATTTTCGCCGGCGCACGCGAGCGGGTAACGCGTGTCCTGCGACAGTGCCCGACGACGGTAACGCTCGAAAACGTGATTGTCCGGCTTCGTAACACGTGTGCCCAGCGCGTACGCTGCTGTCCTCTGCTATGTACGTCACACGGTTTTTCTGACGCGCGATGTACCGGTCGCGATCGTTTCAATTCTAACGGTCACGTGGCTCGGATTTTCAGTTTTCCGCGCGCATCCTCGCCGGACGCCGGATTTCCAGATAATCGCGCGTGAATGATCGCGTCCTCGCCGAGGATCGAGCTTAGAATACGAAGCAAAAGTGAATTGCTTCGACGGCTAGAAACACGGTCGAGAGAGCATCTGTTTATTCGTCGATCGCGTCATGCAATTAGCCATCAGGCGTCGCTAAAACTCATGGGGTTGTAGGTAAGAGAATTGAATCGCTGTTCATTTAACAATTCTCGAACATTGGAGTCGAATGAGAGTGATAGTATTACTGTGTGAAGTATGAGCAACTGGGTCTCCGACGACCCGGTCACCGACATGCCGAGCGCATCGGACATTGATCAACGGGCGTTTGAAGTCTTTGCCCGTTATTGTTGCTAAAGCGGTAATTATTCCGTGGAATCGAGATCGTACCAGGAGCGAATATAGTGGGGAGAGGTGTTGAACGTAACGCATGCCGGTCGCCGGCCGGATCAATTCCAACGCTTGCCCAATGCTACGTAATTATTTCGTGTGTGCGTGACGCGCGCGCCAAGGGTCCGCTATTATTATCTCCATGGAGAAATATCGACCCCGAGACACGAC